TCTCGTGCCAGATCTCTGCTTCTCAAGAGCATGTTTAGTGCATCGATTGTAGCCTGGTTTTCGTCAGTTTACCTTGTCTACTGCACCTTCAGCCCTGTGACCTATGGGCAGCCCTCACTCTCTGTTACTGAACTCAAGGACTTGCGCTGGAAGGACAGCTGGAACATCCTTATCCGAAAACAGTAACTATTACACTCTTGTTACAGGCAAAAGGAAACTCCTTTTATGCAAAGCCAAGAATTTATTGTTAGTGTAATTGAAATCTTAACAGTCTGATCAAATAACTGATAGTAGTCCAGATCTAATTATTACAGGAAAAGAAAATAAAAGAATACTGTTACAGAAAAGGTCTCAATAGTAATCTCACTGTTATGAGCGTAATTCCCAATTTTTACCCCTGTTACACTCACCCTTCCACTGCCCCTTGAGGCCCGATAGTTGCAGACTTCAGCCAACAGCATCCCACATCATCTGTGGGGAAGAGCCCTCTGCAAGGATTTCTTCTTCCTCTTTCCTGGAGTACGTTGTTAATGGTTTCTTCCTTCTTGCACTACATTGCACTTAGGACTATTGTATTTCTAGCACCTTGGTCTGCAATTCTGTTAAAAACAGTTACTATAACTGGATATTCTCCAACATTTTGGATACTTTTCTGTTTTCTTTGTTACTCCTGAAAATTGGGTTTTCCCAGCTCCAAAGTTCATACATCTTTAACTATCAGAACTCAGCCCTGCAGCCTTCAGCATCATCCCATGACTATATTCCTCAACAATGCACTTTTCACCCCCCCAATTTCAATGCTCTGCTGTCATCCCTGGTTCCTTACATTACAGCATGAAGCTAAGTTTATAAATAGTTCATTCTGCACAGAATAATGACTTGTTACTATTATCTATGTATAATCATTTGGCATAACCATATTTTTTATGAAGTTAAGCAAAAATGAAACAAATAGACATTAAAAAAAATTGCTGTTACAGCTAAACAAGCTAAAACAAAGCTTCAAGCAGGCCAAGAAGTCATCCACAGCCAGAAGACTCCTTTGGCCTTGCTGTGTTCATATGAAACCTGTGGCCTGTCACTAGCAGTGGCACCGTTGCATCTGCTGGGCTGCAGGGTTGCATCCCAAACCTCATAGGAAGAGGAACTCGGAGCAAGGAAACCTGCTCTAACTTGTCCAGTGGATTCGGAGTGAAAACATTGTCGGTAACGCAGCACGTGCCCTGGCTTGCACCAGCAGAGAAGCCGGGGCAGGAGAAGGTGCACGCGAAGGACGGATCATGCAGCAGGGAGTCTGCAACACCTCTGTACAGGTATCCAACAGGAGTTACAGTACCTACACCATGCTTTTTTTTTTTTTTTTTCCCATGTGGCTGCAGCAGCAGGATGTTTCAGTGCAGCTCAAAGCTTACCAAGAACAGCAGTCCTGGACAGACCAGGGTGCTTTTTACTGCAGAATTCCTTACTGCTCTAACAAATGCTATTCAAGGCTGCTTGGAGCTCCCCGCCCTCCCTCAGGGGAAGGTATGACCAAACACCACAGTCATTCGGAGTGGGTTTAGTGACTGTTTTGCTCCCAGTTCAGTCAGCCCCGATAGCTAATGCTTCCCTGCAGTAGCTCATGCTCTAAGTCTGGCACCCTGAGCTAAACAGCACCCAGCAGCAGTCAGGAAATGAACTGCTTTCTCCTTGGCCCTACAGAAGTGTACAGCTGACCTGAGGAGATCACTACCAGGTTAACAAACCCTTACCAATTTCCAGTGTTGAAAAGACCCTAGGCATGGAAGTGCGGATTGCATTTTTTTTTTTAATTTTTTTTTTTCCCCTCTAAAGCTTCAGCCATTATAGAGCTAAAGCTAACAATTCCGAGTTAAGGGGAGAAAGAACCATTGAGCATCTCCAGAAGTGTTCCCCTCTGTACCTCTGTGCTGGTGTAGTGCAAGTAACAAATACCTTTTACATAAAAATGGTCATTTCTGCTCACTGTTAGTTCATTTGTTTATTAGCCAAAGTAACACACCCACGACCAACACAGCCAGACCCTGGTTTTAGAAAACTATCAAATAGGAAAAAGTTCCTCTTAATAATATTTCACCCCCACCCTGTTTCTTAAAATTACACTGTTAAGTCCAGACTCAAGACGGGTATCACAAGGACATTTTCAAAGGCCCAACCAGCACTTCATTTCAGATTTTTTTTTTTTTCCAGAAACTTCATGTTGCTACAGAATCACTTATCTGGGGTAAACCACAGAAACTGGGATGTCACTGTTTATACTTCCAGTCTCTTGTCTGCTCTTTTTAGAAAACCAGACATTCTTGAGTTTAAACTGCCTGAGTGCAAGGCAAGCACTCTGACCCTGATTGAGGGCAGAAGCATGTCCAGAGAGCTCTGTGCCATCAGAAGGAGGGTCTTGCCATTCACAGCTTTCCCCCTTGCTAATCTCATCACCCAGCTCTGGAAGTGGACGGATTCTGCCCAGCAGAATCTGCAACCAGCAGTACAGAAACGCCCTAAAAGACACTAATACTGACACAGCTGGGTTTCCGTTTCCGTGAGCAACTCAATCCAGCCGGAGCTCACACATTCAATCACCGTGGTAAAAAAGACTATTTGGGTACAAAAATTAATCATACCGTGTAGCAAGGTTCGGCAGCCTCAAAAGGAGCAAATTAGGAACCAGAACCATACAACTTCTTGGGCCTGTCCCCGTGATGAACTGCAAGTTCCCATTTGTCCCAGTCTCTGTTTCATCCCTATCTCAGGGAAAAGATTCCTCTAACAGGTCAATCCTGCCCTCATGTGCTACTACAGGCTAAAAAGGTGTCTGGCCAGCAGGAGAGCAGTGCCAGAACTGAAGGTGCCAACAAGGTGGAGAAGAGTAAAGCCTGCACCTGCTTGTGAAAATTAACAGGGTGTGAGCAAGTCTGAGATAAAGAGACTGTTTTTTCTTCTGAAAAAACAGGCAGATAATTTTCCTGCTAAGGAAGATCATCATCAGGGAAATAAGGTACCTTGCTAATCACCTGGTAGCGCTTAATTTTCAGCAGAGACTTCGGCATTAGATCTCATTTTGAAAAAAAAAAAAAATATAGGCAAGTAGCATTGTCTTTAACTGGTTCATCGAGTTAACATTGCAACTCCAGACATCACAGGGAGAAAAGGGAGCGGGTTTGGAGGGGAGAGGGGCAGTAGGCCAACTGCTTCCTCTCCCCTCTGTGAGAAGTTCCACACCAGTACTCCCTCCGCTGCTAGGATGATTTAAAGGGTACTTCACCAACCATTCTGTTGAAGTCCTTTCCCAAAGTTGTCTTCAGTGTTGGTCTGGACCTCAGGCAATCCCTCAGACGCTGACAGGTCAGTGTGGACGGCTGCTGGACTCCAGGTGGGAGCGTTTGCCGGCCGCCAGCACGCTGCTGCTCTCCGTTTGCTCAGGGAATGGGCGCTTGTAGCTCCGACCGTGGCCGTTCATCGCCCCTCGCTGCCACTTGCAGATGTCTCCATTTAAGATGTCTTGAATGTGCTGCACGATGAGGTTTATCGCAACTGTGGAGAGGAATGGGAAATACAGGGCACACAGGCTTTCTTGGCCGAGCTATCTAGAAAATGTGGAGCATTCAGCCCTGTTCAACTCAAGTTTTATCAACAAGCCCTTAAATGAAACTATGTCTGCCCTCTGCGTCGAGGTCAGACCTCAACAGAAACCAGCAGCTGAAACATCAGCTTTAACACTGGTGTCCTGCTCTGCATCTCCAATCACGTCACTTTTTCCAGCCCGCCGCAGGCTCTGAGCATCTCCCTCCCCTACAGCCCTCCAGCAAAACACCTTTCCTTAGAAGCACGCAAACAAGGCAGGGGTGTGCCATTGGCTCTTCCCAACCCCAAAGGTGTCTCCCCAGAGAAATCAGGCAGAGAACTGAACTCCCTTTTACCCATGTTGTCAACTCCTCGGGGGATGATCACGTCTGCATACTTCTTTGTCTGCAAAACAGCAATGGTGGTGGAGACCATTAATGCAAAGTCAGCTTTATTCCAGGAAGAAGCTACCAAACACCAGAAAGGTGAGGGCAAAGACGGAGGGGTTTCTGTGCTCTGGGGCTGCAACTTAAAGCTCTTGGTCCTGGTAACACCTAAACGAATTGAGAAATCACACTAGCTAACGTGCACTGGATTTCAGGTCAGGGATTGTTCTTACTGCCCCTTTGCAGGGAGTCACCAGGTAGGAGCAGTAGGTCAAGCGTGGAGCACTTGCTTTTACACTTCTGAGGAGTGTGCTGCCTTCAAACGGGTCACCCGCGTCGAGGCTGAGGTCTGTTTGCCAAGAGCTGGTTCTAATCAGCATTTCACAAGCTGTTGCTAAATCTCTGCCCAGAGCCAAGGTACCAGCGTGCACGTGAAATTCCTTTCTGCCTCTGGTGACGTTTTATTGATCTTTACCACCACAGAGCCCCTGCTTCCCCCCTGCCTACTTGTAAAAAAGGCTGATAAATTCAGCATTTCTAACGAGGACTTTTACAATCCCAGAATTGCTTTGATCTAGAGCAAGAGGCGCCTGAGCTGGCCTTTTCCATCTTATTTAATCCACATACAGGATTTTGTTCTCAAAGAGGTTTTTTTACAAGTTAATTTGATTAAGTGAACACCTAAATTGACTCTGCATTGTACAGCACAGCAAGCAAAGGCCATAATGGTCTGCCCCAGGTTTTCATGGGTGTTCCCTGTTGAGCATGAATCTGCTGGAAACCAAGCTCTTCTTTCTTCCTGCAAGCCTTAAGAATAAATGCAGAGTGGGAGTGTTTCAGGCAAAGGCACCCAGTCTAAAATAGCCACGGCAGTGAGAAACTGCACACAGCCTCCAAGGATTTTCATGGTGCTTTGCAACACAAGGGACCATCCAACCAAGTTCCTTAAACAAGCAGCTTGTAATGGTTAAATAGATGAGACAGCGCGGAGAGGAGAGCGTGGGACTCGTGAAATACAAGCATCAAAAGCCACCACTGCTGCCACCACAGTGCAGCTCATCCCCAAGCAACCCGGTTCCTTCTCTCCTCACCAAAAAAAAAAACCCCACAGATCAAATCAGTGAAACATTTAGTACCGGTAAGCAGAACTCCTCAAAAGCAGGTTTGACGAAGGTGGTGTACTGGGTGAGGATCTGCTCAAGGTCCCTCCCACGTTTCATATCTCGCAGAACTGGGATGGAAAGATAAAACCCATGAGTCTTACCACACAGCCAAGGACGGATGAGGAACACCAGCCCGCTGATGCTGCCGTGACGGCAGAGCATTACCTCTGCGTGACAGCCGGACATCGGAATCTGTGTCGACAAAGAGCCGGAGATGGAACATGTCCCGAATGTCTTGATTGTAGAAAACCAGGATCCCCTCGAAGAGAACAACGTCAGCAGGATAGACCACCGTCGTCTCTGCCAGCCTGCCAGGAAAAACACCAGAGCACATTGCCAAATGGGTCTCGCACCACAGTCCAGCAGTCCGTCCCCAGGCCCAGCTGGGCACGTCCCCATACGCACCCGGAGACTTGGTGCAAAACCGAAACCCACCTAGAATGTGTCACGAAGTCGTATGTTGGCACCTCAACCGTTTTGCCCTCAACAATGTTTTTCAGGGTTGTATGCATCAAATCGTTGTCAAAAGCATCTGCAAGAGGAAGGTTTAAAGAGGAAGAAGTTCAGATGCTGCTGTATCAAGTGTTCTGCTCAGATTTTCTAGATCCAAAGGAAAAACCCTCTGTCCAGTATTACACCAGGAAAAGAGGAACTTGCAGCTTATTCTTTCCTACCAGCAGCAATTCAACACTCCCTGCCCAAACTGGAATTGCTATACTTTGTTACGGAGATGAGGGAGAGAGAATTTGCTGTTTATAACCAACTATAACACAATGAAATTAAGAACTCAAATGTGAAGTTGGTAATTGCATAATTTTACCAAACCACCTGGTAATTGTACAATTTTGCGCATTAGCCTGTTAGCTAAGAGTAATTTAGAAAACCTCAGACATCTTCAGTGCTTTCCAAGAGCATTATCTGCCCTGGTGAACCCACAGCAGGCTCCAGACCTCAGTCAAGGACAGATCATCGTCCCGTTTGCAATCCATAGCACTCCCTGAGCAAGGGAGCAGCTGTTTACGTGGACAAGAAGTATCAGGAAAGGATTCAGGGATCGAGGTGGTTTATTAAAGAGTCTCTCAATCGCCCAGAACAAGGAGGCAGAGCACCACGAAAGCCGGGATGCTCTCCAACCTCCAGCATCACTCTGCAAAGGTGCGCCAGAACAGTGGTTACCACCTGCAGCAGCGCAGCTTTTGTGACAACAATGTGCTCGCATAAAAGACAAACACGTTTTGGAGTGAGAAAGAGCATTTCTGTCATCCAACACTTCTCATTTTCCACAGGCCCTTTGCAGTAAACCCCGGCTGGTCTCCAACCTCCAACTCAGCCGTGTTAAAGCCCTGAACCAGCTGCAGGGCTCCGGGCG